GAACAGTCCCTAAATGGTTCGGCCGCAGCCTCACCTAAGAATAGGTAACCACTCAGGTAAACGGAGCCTGTAAACATAAAGGGGAATTACCCAAATATGCACGGCGCTCCCTCGGGATGCCATCAGCTAGCAGCAGCGACGAGTGGGATCTTCCCCGTCTAAAAGGCCAAATTGGATTCGAGGTGAGGCGGGTATGTGTTTGGGTAGCTCGGGCTTGATAACTGATCATTACCCTACAGGACGATTTTCAATATCTGGCATCGGACGATCAAGACACTGGTAAGACGTCAACTATAGTATCTCGAAGGCGCTTCTGACATGTACCAGAGTTCTTTGACGTGAAGTTCTATCCCTACGGGGATAGTACACACGATCCCGTCTTTGCTGCCGTTAGCAAGAAACATGTTGTCATATACCGGCTCTCCAGCAAGGCTAACCCTCCTTATGAGCTGGTACAACTATTCAGAGACGATGACGTAAATTTCGCCCCAATCCATACTACAGGCACTATAGCTTACATTAAAGTAGAAAGAAGCCTTGAATTGCAGCTGCACTTGGACCAAAGATCCCGAAACAGAGGTCCCTTACTTATGCGTAGCCGGTAGGGACGCTAAAATCAAAGTCTACGACGTGATTCAGGGGAAGCTAGTAAAGGTCGGGCATGTATTTAACGTCCAACTTATGCAGCGTCAGCTAACATCTCATATAGGTTCTCGTTGGCCACGGAGGCGTAAGTTCAAAATTCAGTTGGGAGAAATATCCAAACTAACAATTCTTGGAGGAAATCAATGATCTCGCTACATCCCCAGCAAACTTCCTCCTAGTTGCATCCGCATCAGAAGATACAACCGTTCGGATATGGAGCCTCGATCCTGCACATGCCAAACAACCATGTGTCTGCCTACTTGCCGGAGAGGGCCATTCTTCGGGATTACTAACTGTCGTACGTGCTCTCAGCTACTCACATCAGTCTTTAGTCCTAACTCTTTAGCTTAGGCATTCCACAATAGTGGCCGTTATGTCCTCTCCGCAGGTCACGATAACGTGATATGTCTGGTAGGAAGAAATTACCCAGCTTGGGGAAGACGTTTTAACATATAATAGTGGACACTTCCCGACCTACCCCCTGAGTCTAATGGGAAAAATCCCCCAAAACCTATTGTAATCCATTATCCTCATTTCTTCACTTCGGAGGTGCATAGCGGTATCGTGGACTGGTAAGTCTATCTTACCTATGGGACTGAAATTTTCTAATAGAAAACTACCCCTTAGTGTGGCATTTTTTGGTGATCTCGTTCTTTCACGAGCTTGCCATGAGGACATCATAGTACTATGGCGTATCGAGGGATTTTCGTCCCGCGATCCTCCCCCGAAAATGTCCGAGGCGCCAACTACGAGTGATACAGAGCGTCTAACCCGTTCTGCTTTTGCTCCGGCAACGGCGTCGGCATGTCCGCCTCAGTATACCCGCCTATTGGAGTTTTGGACGCCACACTGCGGTCATCAGTTCTACCTCCGCTTCAAGCTCTTTCACGACAAGGATAAACACCCAGTACTAGCTTTTGGTAATGCGAAAGCTATGATTTTCTTCTGGGACCTCGCTCGCCTAGGAAGCTATCATGATTTCATCAGCGAAGTTCGAAATCCAGCTCGCGACAAGTCCCAACCAATTAACCGCCCGGGGTGGCTGGCTCCCATTCAACACAGGCACAAGGGCGACGCTGTCAGCAAGCTCAAGGATGCTGCCAGTGATAGGGAATCTGTCGCATCGGGTCGCACCGGCAGCGTTGATGTCGAAACGCACGTAGATCTTAACACGAACTATACGCAAGAGACAATCGAGTCCTGGGAGTTGAAATACGACATGACCCGTGTGGAGGAACCCATCAGAGCACATGCGCAGAGCAACGTCACCGTCAAAGACTTCGTCGGTCGCCAAGTGGCCTGGAGCGCTGGCGGCGAATGGTGTGTCGTTGTGGGCAGCAAGAACCTCGCCATCATATTGCAGCGGTGGCATAAGAAAGACCAACCGAATGATAAAGAAAAGAAGCCAAGCCAGGACCGCCAGAATCGAACGGATGGTGGCCCTTCATAGATATTCGCGGAAGTAAAGTGCCGGACCTAGATTAGGCATACGATCCCTTGACTAGGGGACAAGATACCAAATCGAGCGTAGAACTTCCCTTAGAAGACTTTACACGTCGCTAAATTAAATAAAACCCGGTATCAAGGAAAGTATATATCATTCTGTATCGTTCATATTGTCTAAGGAGTGAAACTGTTGATAGCCCAGTGATGTGCTCTTATTACATCCCTCAACCGCAACCCGTGCCAAGAATTCACAACAATCAAATCAATTCCAATCGACCAACATCCATGATACCCCGAGACTCGCCTAGCAGCCATCTAACGTAGTGGGCTGCTTTCTTATGCCCCCCTAAACGCAGTAGGGCAGGTTATTGATGTACTGGCACACGGTGCCAACCGGGCAGTCTCCGCCATCCTACATGGTCTCGTCAGAAAGAGGGAGAAGAGTAGGCGGAGCCATACTTACAACATAGAAACCCTCGGTTGTGCACACCAAGAAACCAAGAAAGTCAGGTTTGCAGCTAAATTCAACAACAGGAGTCAGTAACTAGGACTTATTTAGGAAGCAAATGCTCGGTTAATGCATATCTCAGGAGTAGTTGAGCTCAAATGATACTGGAAAGGGGAATGGATAACTCATGAAAACACATACATATAAGATGGAGGCGTACACTGCAGGCCAGCATCTACCCCGTAGGGCGCAGCTAAGGCCGCCGTGACGAATGCTGCGACTACGAGGAACTTCATTTTGATTTGGATGGTAGACGTCTTGGATATTTCGTGAGGATATCAGGAATCTGGATGTTGATTGTTGATGGTCGATCTTGTGATGGCCTGGCTAACTGTCTGACTGAATGAAGCATTGTCTACTCGTTTACACCTTTATTATATACATAATAATATACGAGCCGTACGAAGCGGGCTCTCCAGACAACGTGTCGTCAGGCAGCGGTTAGACTAGAGCTCCGTTCGAAGTTTGTTCTCGAAAGATCCGTCATGGCGTATAACGTCGTAATCTGCCAGGAGAGATGGAACATGTCCTAGCGTACGTGATAACTAGTCGAATCCGCAAATACATTGCCTTATACTCCAGACCATCGGTATAATCGGTCAACTCTGCATACCACGATTCTTACAAGTTCTGTTCTAGAAACGTTCCCCCCGAACCCCGGATCTAGGCAGTGCGACTAAACTGAACGTAGCTAAACCTCATGTGTCATGACCAAGATCTAGAGACAAGCCGGGTCAGTGACACTCAAACTAATGGATCGGCCCATTTCGAACAGACCGAGCGTTGGCGTCGAGATATATAGCGTGTTCGCTTTCCGGTTAAGAGCCATCCATGCGTCCCGGACTCCGGGCCGCTAGTGTAATTAGTTCCGGAGGTTACTAGGCTCGGAGACAGGCAAGTAGCTTCCATGTGACGAACCCAATAAACGCTCTGACACTCAGCCTTGTCCGAATAAGAGGCTTACGCAGCAGCGTAGATATCTCTCGATCTAGGAAAATAGGTATGGCGTTTTGACCACAGACTAGAAACGCTAGTTTAAGCCACGTGGACATAGAGCGACCGGGTCGCAAGCATGTGAGCTGCCATGATGGTTGACGTCTTTGGCATACGATCAAACACGTTTAGATATTAGCGTGACATGAGGTTGCTTTGACATGAAGCTACGGCCCGACGGGCTTAGTGACACATGTCAACGATTCGCGCTAACACACGTTGCTACCCCTTTCGCCTGCCATATGTTTTGGTCGATGTCAATACCAGGTCCTCCATATAGTAGGCTCTGTAGTTAGGTTCTAGTAGGATGAGAGATAATACTCACGTCCTGTCACCCGATACCTGAAGCGTTCGAATACCGGTAAAGAGGATCCGAAACGCCGAGTCCGAGAGCTAACTCCCAGGGCGACCGCAAAGGTGTTATTATTTTCCTAACAATAGACAATCTATATACCAATCTCTATATGTGTTTACTTATGACCCATACAAAGCTCTAATAAGAGCTGTTGGTTATATTTATCATAAATTTCCGTATGCTTCTGTACGCGAGTCACTTAAGGCTCATCAAAACCACTCAATTTCGACTACAGACATCCTCCTCTGGCCAAATCCCAGCTGTTTCACTGGTCTCTCCGGAAAATCGAGTCCACAGAGTGCATGATATCTCAGTCGTACCGTTTTAGCCTCGTTGGTACTAGTATTTTGTTAATGCTCTCAAGCAAGATCTCAATTTGAGCTACCTGGCTACCTGCGTTCATTAACCTCATTCCTGGAAAGCTGCAACGTATTTCACCCCAAGTTCCTGTTTTCGCTCAAACGTCTAACTACGTAGATCATATTTCTATACCTACTTCCTTATACACACTATATACTCCCCACCTAGCAGAATCTGTCTCTACTCACTTCTGCTTGGTTTATATCTATGACTGGCTCTTGTCACCTATGTTCACCGCGCCAGCCTCTTACGTTTAGTTGAAGTAAGAGTAAGTCACCAGTAATAAATATCAAATCAGAATGCCGCGCGCCTAATTCCGAAGAGTAACGATTATTAATAAGGTACTGGTGCACATTCACTACACCTACGTGACGCCCCTGACGGCCGGCACCCGGATCTCATTTTCACTCCCCGGCTCCTAATTCCGGCCCCTTTATGATAGATAGCCTCATATGTGGGATCTTTCCAAGTAAAGGCGACGAGACCATGGACGTTTTGCAATGTTCCGCTCTGTCAAGCGTCTTGACAGCTATGCCTCTATGTAGTAGACTTGCCATGAGCGTCGTACAGTGCGAATAATTAGTATATTTACTTTGTACTGTCCCCGCACCGATAAGAATAGCGCACAACCCTAAAGGATTATAGGCTGTAATAATTTGCTTTGATGCCAACACAGTTACCCAGCAAGGTGACGGGCTTGTGGTTTAGTGGTATAATACTCCCTTAGCATCTACAGGTATCCAATACCTTGAAGCTTGGGAGTGGTCCGGGGTTCGATTCCCCGCGAGTCCATCTCTGGAGGTTAGATTCCTCCTGTACCATTTCTTTTTGAATTTTTGGCAGAATTTCATCCTCGTCGTTGTTCGATTTGAAGGGATGGCATCTCTGGTCACCGCGATGTTTTCTTCCAGTATTTGTTTCTTTTTTTTTGGCACCCCCTCTACTGATTTTCTCTCTGGGCCTTTTACGTCATGGATGTCCCTTCAGAAATCTATTGCGAGACACTACTATGTACACAGCCTCCATGTACGTACACGCAGCACTAGGAGCAAAGCTAACACGTATAATCCGTGGAACAATCCCGCTTAAACCATGCAAGTCTGCACGAGTTAGAATAGCATTGTCCTGTCACAGGCGTCGCACATTCGTACATCCAGAGACGTCGTGGATAGAGGCGGTGACAACCATCGCACAGCATGCACTGGACTCGGCGGCGTCGTTGTACGTTGCATAGTGTCGAACGTGTCTTCCACTCGTTACCATACGGGCGATGGCAGTTCTCCGACCACAACAGGTGGATGAGTAACTCGACAAGAGGGGAGATAGCGAGTTTGCTGATTGCCACGAGGGGTATATCTTAGGCTTAGGCTATGATTCTTCACTATTGTAACAACACACATCAATGCTATTAGGGCTGGTGTATATTGATGATTGTGCGGTATTTTGTGTGAGGACATTCCCGCGTTCCAGAGGAAGCACAGGAAAGGAGTCGATGAAACGTGGTAGCTGGCACTTAATAACTTGAAGCGAAGTATGGAAGTAATGGCGCGACAGTAAACGTGAATACGACTTCTATCTGGAATACTAATGCTTCAACGTATGTGCCTCAACCCTTACTAGTTGAGCTGGGCTAGACTCAATGAATCGGTTTGCCGAGGGACGGCTGATAACTACTAGACAATCGGAGATATGGAGGCTTGGATGTGATTGATTTTAAGCGTACGCTTGTGCCAAATCAGAATGATGTTCCACGATTAAAGAGAAATAGGAGCTTTTCTTCCTAATCACTTTAACAAGCGAGAATATGCGTGCTGGTTCACTAGTCGTGAACAACATATTTGTTCCGTCGCGTATAGGAATCGATACCGAGGTCATACCAAAGCGCATTCACCGCAACTCTCGGCATGCCAGCTCATCGGGGGAGGCTTTGTCATATCAACCCGGATATCGTTTGGACTTGACAACATTGAATGAAGACCACCACAACGCGGCTAAGAGCGATTTAGAGCTGGCCGGTTCAGCTTGCCTTTTGCTCGAAGATCAGACCGCATCAAATAGATATTTATACCTGGAAGGTCCTGACCAGAACATGTATTGGACTGAGCTTATAATTTGTCGGCGGCTACCGAGAATGAAGGTGAACGAGTAAATGACCACGGGTATCTGCTCACAATGAAGTCTGTGCTTGCGAGATGCCTATGAAGCGCGATAAAAATAGGAGCTTATTGAGACATGACTTCCCAAGTCTACCTACATAGGTATGTAATCGCGCGGCAAGGAAGTATCGAAGCGTTTAAGGATAGAAATAGGAAGTTCGTAGGCTCTTGTTTCATGTTTCAAGTGTCCGAAGCCCCGTTATAGAGCCGTAGTGAATTAAAGGCCAATCAGACCCCGCCGTCAGCTTGTTACGTAGCAGCTAGAGATCACCGACAGGGGGGCCCTAGACGCCTCCTTGGATACCCCTGAAAATCTATTCGGTCCAGCTGGGCTTCTGGGTTCGTCGTGGGGCATTCTTGACGACAGGTCCTTCCCAAAAGGCACTGATATTCTTCAACGCTACGATCCGAGGTTCGTTGTACGGATCTTCAACGTTACTTTCACCTTTTGTCCGTGGATGCGGAGTAAAATAGTATCGCATCATGATGTTGGTGCTAAACTAGCTTCTAGGATTTCCTTGATTTCCGCCATACGGAGTTCACGGTTAGCAAAAGAGTGTCGCTTCATGCTTCTTCCTTAGACGATCATCTAAGCCAACCAAGCCGACCAAGCCATAACAGCCACGGCGGTAGTGCTGCCGGTGGCTGCTTGGTGCTGACAGGGTATACATCCATATGTACAAGTTTCCTATTGTAGATACCAATAAACTCGATACAGCAGGAAGGAATCCAACCAGCCTTTGTGTCTGTGTGGGCGGGTCGCTATGGCCATGACTCCTTCAAGATGTGCTTGATAAAAACCTCTTTGTCTCCCGCTTACATATCAGAATGGACTTTCTCACGGGTGACTCTATCCAAGTCGCAATTCATCCTTTCTTAGACATCTCTTCTTGTTCAACGAGCGTTGATTGTTCTTTCCTTTCGGTTTCCCTTGGTCATTCATTTCCTGGCTTATTGTAGATTTAGACGATCGTTACAGAAGCCTATTGTTCAGCTTGTATATTCAGTTACAGGTTTTCTGTTCATTAATCCTCACCTACAAGACGACATTCTTTCCTCCGCCGTTCCTACGCGTAGACAATTTGCAGATTTATTCGTCCCTAAAAACTACATACTTACGATACCACCGCCAATACCACCTTTGATTCCTGAGCTGTGGAAATACAGGAGATTAATTGAGAGTACAAAATAAAACTCGCAATTTCCGAACAATTATATATTTTGAAGTCGCAGCGCGACACTTTACCTCAACCAAAACGAAAATGTTTATGAAATCCATCCATACTGCCGCCGCTCTGGCAGCGGCGATTACATTGCCCAAGGATCTCAATGTAAATGACCTAGGTAAACCTATCCTCCCAGGTAACGTCAGGAAACAGATACTAACCTAACCGCAGCGTCTGTACGTAGTGCGGCTAGCACGATCGCGTATGGACTTATGTCTTACTATACCGGAAATGTTACAAACACCCCAGAAGTGCGTAATGTCCTATCTTCTTGTGGTGTTTTATTTGGGCTTGCGCTAATATATTGATGCTTAGACAATTGCTGTTTTTCCCCAACCATACTGTAAGACGAATTGCGCCTCCTTTACTATATCAATCTAAGCTAACTAGAAATTAAATAGACTGGTGGGAAGCTGGTGCAGCGTGGGGAGCTATGTTGGACTATTCGCATTATACGGGTGATTCTAGTTACGACGAAGCCATCACGCAGGCCCTGCTGTCACAAGTCGGCCCGAAGTTCGATTTCATGCAACCACTGCATTTCGGTTCTGAAGGAAATGATGACCAGGCCTTTTGGTCGTTCGCCGTTCTCGAGGCCGCCGAGCGCAACTTTCCTCAGCCGAATGATACTATTCCCCCTTGGCTCAACATTGCGGAGAATGTTTGGAACACGATGGTTGTGAGGTGGAACGACTCTCACTGTGGAGGTGGACTCGCCTGGCAAATCTTCGAGTCAAATCCCAACGGTATGAGTTACAAAAACAGTGTTTCCAACGGCGGTTTCTTCCAATTGTCAGCGCGCCTTGCACGAGCAACTGGTAACGACACTTATCGCGACTGGGCGCAGAAGGTGTGGGATTGGTCCGTGAAAGTCGGCTTCGTGGACGACTTGTTTAACGTCTATGATGGCGCCGATATCAAGGACAATTGCGCGAAAGTGAACAAGTTGTCATTTTCGTATGCGCAGGGAATTTACATGTACGGCGCGGCCGTCCTCTTCAATTACACCAATGGCGACAAGACGTGGGGAGATCGTACGTCCGGGTTACTGAAGGCGGCGGATTCCTATTTCAGCCCCTACCCGAACGCGACGAACATCATGTTCGAGCACGCCTGCGAGCCTTACGAACTCTGTAACAACGATATGAAGTCGTTCAAGGGTTACCTGTCTCGTTTCATGTGGGCAACTTCGCGCATGATGCCCTCCACTCTTCCCCGCATCCAGACGCTGCTAAACGCTTCAGCAATTGCGGCTGGCAAAGCCTGCTCCGGAACAGAGAATGGCACGGTGTGCGGACAGAAGTGGTATGTCGGCGGTTTCGACGGTGTTACTGGATTGGGTCAGCAGATGACGGCGCTGGAGACCGTCCAGGGCCTTCTCGCTCAACAAGCGCTACCCCCTTTTAAAGCTGGCGAGATCAAGCACGTCAAGGGCACGGAGAATCCCCCACCAGCGACAAACCCTGCCACTGCATCGCCGACACCTTCACCTTCACCAACTAAGCGTTCGAACTCTGCTGGGAGCACGCTTGTATACTGGAGATGGTCACTGCTGGCTTTGAGCTCCGTTCTGGCTCTATACTTGGCTTGATGGGATGATTTAGATATTGTAAGACGGTGATTGGCATAGCAATTGGCGTTTGGGTTACCCACTTCGACTACCCTTTAGTACATAGTAGTTTGGCAGAAGGGGTTGGTACTAATTTAGAGATACCTTTGGGTTTTCACTTCGTACATACATACATGTAAATATAATTATATGCATATTGTATTCAAGCTCAAATGTATTAGCGGAGATTACTGGGTTCACTCAGGATGACTCCAGAAGAGGACCCTGACAGGTTTCTCGTCAATCTAGGTAGAGAATGAGATTATAACGAGTTCTAACTTTTGGGAATTTTCTAATATTAATTCAATCAATTTTATATTGTCGATAGGGATATGACTAGCATCAGCCTACGATGTCTATAAAACTAGTGCCCCTATGCACATAAGCAGTATCATAACCCCACCTAATGTGTCAATTGAAGTTTTCCCTGAATGTTCTCCGAATCGGACAACCGATTGCATTGACGATACTAATAAAACAGATCCTTACTATCTACTTCGTGACTCACGAACAACCCTTGGAGTGAATATATTCAACCAGCTTATACCTCTGAGTTGGTATCTGTCAATACAGGCAAGAACCGGGCCCCTATTTTTCTTTTATTAGGACAGCAGCGTGCGCGTCGCTGGCCATATATAGCCTGGGTTCATTATGTCGCCCTTCAATCTCGAGACATGCGCGAGACCCAATATCTTGGCTCTGGAGCCATACCGCTGCGCGCGAGAGTAAGACCCGATCACCCGGTAGTAAGTAAATACTCACTCATGCATCGTAGTGACTACAAAGACGACGGCACAAACG